GTCCGGACTTTCACGAAGGAACTCTCACAAACAATAAGCTCCCCTTTTGACTTCCTCCACATTTCCCATTGCATTTATTTTATACGTGGTGCAACTCGCCACTGTGAACTACTGTCAACCATAGTAAAAACCATTAGTGCACACGCCTGAGCTATATTTAGGCAATCAACTGTGCACTAATACCCTCACAGCTAGCGCACACGGTTTGAATTCAGCTTCTTTTGTTCTCTACCTCGGTGACACCCATGCTCATGTATTAAGCATAGCTCGTTCTTCCCGTCCATCCGAATGAAGGCCTGTATCATGGCCTGTTACTGCACTGACCACAATCCACTCGGGAAAAGGACAGTAATCCAATGCGTTATTATTGACAGGTGGCCGGGTACAGCGACAATGATTCTTCCATTGGTCAGGCATGCCACAGTTATAGCAACGGCTCTTTCGAACGTGCCTCCACGATTGTCATCATGACGGCTAGCTGTTCGGTTAGTCGGTCCTATTAGCTCCACAGATCGCCCACGCTCAAGTGGTCGGTTGTTCTCGTCAATCACAACGGGGCACCAAGCGCCGGCTACACACCGACGAACTAGTCACACAATAACTGCTGACGCAACCATGCCTCCAGCACAGGCAAGGTACGGTCCAACCACTGCCGCGGACCGGCGAAGAACACTGTCGAGTCGCATCCCGGGCCCATCCACGCCTTGAACCACTTCACCGCCTCCTGGCGGTCGGCCGGCGAGTCGGATTGCGCTGCATGAGCTTTCTTCGCAGTGGGCTGGTCTATCTTCCCAGGGTCCCATCTGGCAGCACCCAGCAGTCTTTGCCCGGTCCTTGAGGGTCTTCAGTGCCACCAACGATCGGCTTCCGGTTCAGCCATATCCGCATCGTCCTCGAAATCTTCCAGTATAGTCCAAGTACACCCCTCCCCAAAAGCTTGCGTGTACGGAACCTTCATCCGTACCCTGGTCACAGCCCCAGGGGAAAGCTCCATGGTGCGACGTTATTTATTAACAAACACAAACCAACCGGTTAAACGAAAGCGAACATCTCATCTGCACAGAGTTTTTGAAAAGTGAGAATTTCCAGATGTTCACTTGAACTTTCCTGGACGTGCTTGAAAATTAAGAAATTATAAATGAACACTGCGAAGTGATTCCAAGTTCCCATTACAACATTCGCCTTCTGCCGCTTCCGGTGGCAGAGCTTGGAGACCGGACAATAGACTATTTGCATAATTCATCAGTAGTACAAAACGCTACAGTGGTAGCGGTCACGGATGAATCATGAAAAATGTAAAGGATGTATGCTAAGGGCACTCAGTGCTGTTTGCCAGACTTCCCCTATTCGACCAAAAGCCCGCTGTATGTAGTCGAGATCGCTAGCCATGAGGGATACCACGAACTCCACACCAACAAGCAACGAGTAAAACGGTACACGCAAACTCTTCAAACACCAAACAGCGAAGAGCCTAAGGAAAGACCAAGGGCTCTGGTGGACATGGAAAGCTTGGGAGATGGTGAAGGCTTTTGCTGCCGGAAACGGCCGTGTCCTGTACCAAATGATGCGACTGATTGGCCATAGAAAAGCAAATGTCAGCGAAACAAAAATGAAAAAGGCGGCTCATTGATTCACTCACAAAAACGTCTATTGGACAGACAGCCCCTGAAGATGTAAACCTTAATCGCCTGTCGGGAGAATGAATAAAGTGCGAAATATCCATGCTGAGACGTGGGAAATCACCAGGAACGGAGGGTCTATATCCAGAACTCTTCAAGGAAGGAGAATCCATGGTGACCTAGCAAAAAAGCTCATTGTTACGATATGGAGCGACGAGAAAGTGCCTGCAGGATGGCGCATGTCAATAGTTATTCCTGCGTTCAAATAGGGTACGCAGGCGCTGTGTGAAAACCATCGTGGCATCAGTAGTGGCAGTAGTGGCATCGAATGTGCTCCCTAGTCTTATCCTCCGAAGGTTGCCTGAACACAAGGAGAGACAGATCCGTGGGAACCAAGCATAGTTCTGTCCTGCAAGAGAATGCATTAGTCATATTTTCACCCTCCATTAGATTTTGCAACAGCGACACAGTCGGTAGCTCTGAATAATGATGGTCTTTCTTGACTTGAAAGCTACCTTTGGTTCTGTGAACCGTGGGGCCTCATGGCAGTTTCCATAAATTCTCGACCCTCCTTAGGGCACTGTACACGAACTCCTGCGGGAACAGGAAGGTCTACGGGAAGCTCTCGCCTGAGTCCACCACCTCAAGTGGTATTGGGCAATGCTGTCCTCTTTCCCCTTTCCTCTCCAAATTCGCCATTGATACGACTTTGGAAAACTCACTACCAGCTTCTAATGTTTGTGCGGTCGAAGTGCTCACGGGCATCAAGTACGTGGACATATCCCTTCTTGGATCCGACGCCATCGTAATGCAAACAATACTGAATAATCTGGATAATCCTGCCTCAGTTTGTTATGCGCTGCAAGACTGGGTGGGCTCGAACCCTAGTCTCATGCCTGAGGATCAACCGACTGAGGCAGACAAATTTGTCTACCTGGACAGCTGTATCAGTCCCGGCGGTCTCGCGAAAGATAGCTCCCTCGAGATTGGCAGGTCCAGAGCAGGCTTCTGTGAACCTGCATCACCTGTGGTGTAGGCGCGACATCAGCTTATCCGTCAATGGTCAGGTCTACAATGCCGGGGGGGTCCACATTTGTATATCAGCTGGAGCCTAGGTCGCTGCGCCCTGAGAACATCAAAAGACTTGGTGCTTGACCATCGACGTCGCAGGAGCGCCGCCCGAGTCTAGCTAGAACACCGGATGAGTAATGCTGAAGTATAAGTGATTTTCTGAAGAAATAACTCGCCCACTATAGGTGAACTGATCACACTCCACAGGCTGCGCTGGCTTGGTTACGTGCTCCGCATGCCAGGCAACTGACTTCCTCAAAGACCAGTTTTCGTACAACCATGCGAAGAGTGGAAACGAGCCAGGTGATGTCAAATATTGACTTCGCAGCGAAGGATGGAAGCCATTAACAGTAAACTCAGCTCTGCTGGTCACTGTCGTCATCCTGGATTGGGACTCCAAGACAGAACGTTGTCAGACATGGCTCAATCGCGCCCTCAATAGTGCTGGTGTCCAATCGATTGCTTTCAATGCATAACTTTCCCCCAATCTCCCCAAGGAAATAGCTCCTGACAACCCTGTATTTGAGCGTCAATTATACCAGTCACCACCTCTAATGCACAGTTACCTATCCCATCTCCCCAAATGACTGATCGTTGAACGAAACTGTGGCAGCTAGAACCACTGTATGGCAAATACGCGGCTCTTACAGCTGAAGATGATGATTATATGCGTAGTGGGTTTAGCCGGCACTGCAGGGTACGCGAACCCGCGATAACAATTATTTGGTTTGGAATTGTGGAAAAGTACAGAGAACGTGCGCTGTATCATGCTGGACGGCCGAGTCAATGAAGCCAGAAAATGAAACAAGTTTGAAGTCGTGATAATTGGCAATACAAGCTTTTTGGCGAACAGGAGAATGAACAAGGCGAGACAGCGACAGAACTACGAGCAAAAAGCCTACCCCCTCTAACAGGTGTTCTACGGATGTTCACGCATTGCGGTTCGGAGCCTCTTCTGTTTCGTGCAATCTTCGAAATGACAGAAGAGCAATAAGAGCTGCGAGACCAATTGCAGAAGCCTGCCCGTAGATTCGCCAACGCATCATTCGCGAAGCAACTTCATTCCTCCCCAAAGCGAAATTGTACATTCCATTAAACAGCACATAGCCAGTGAAGAGGCTAACTACGGGGGAAATGGTAACATGAAAGAAACACTGAGGGGATAACTTACTTCCGACAACTTCTGGGTATCTCGTGGCTAATCTAGAAAACTTTTTGGAACCTACAGGCTTCTCGACTGCATCGTCCATGATGACTGAGGCGCTGAAATGTGGGAAGCAAGAACTTTAAAGTTTGACTGTGCAAAACGAGACAGTAGACAGAGATATGACGCAGTTTTATCGTAACAGAGTGGTCAATATACTTTACTGTGTAGCGGTAAAAACAAAAACCATCGGTCGCACTTTGTGTTAACAAAGGAAAACCGAGATAACAAAGTTAGTCCAAATTGCGTGCGGGGTGAACTTTCAGTGAGTTGCGCTTACCTGTCCGATAAGGTCCCACAGTGCGCTCATAAATGACATCAACAACAGTTAAGCATTTCCACCCATTATACGGTTTTAGAACAAGCTCCTCAAGACAGACGGTCCCCTGGCATCCGAAGCACACGAGCAAGCCAGTGCAAACTATGAAAGTCACTACATCGTACTTGAGTTTCTCCTCCCAAAAACTTGAAGTAGCTCATTGATTAAGCCGCAGACTTACTGACCATAAGGTCTGCATCTCGACTGCGGCAGTCTAGGCTTGGGCAACTTGACAGTAT